TCTATCATAACACCCACCCCGCACAAGCTACCCGGGGGTGTACAATTACGGGGGGGTGTTTTGTCCGGGAGAATACGGTACTTCGCATCATTGCTCAGCGCGTACACCACTGTTCTCGCCAACAACTTTCAACAATGCACCGTTACCACTCGCTACACTTGCCTCGACCACTGTTCCCGCCACTGTTGACGATGAGATCCAACCTCACGGTTCGGTTGGTAACCTGCGCTCCGGACCTCTGCCTCGATAATTCCCAACCTCGGCGCTAGGCCCGTAGCGCACCCCATTTTCACCACATTACCGTTACAACTCTAGATTCGGTATATATTCTTCGCTCATGCCTTTGCTCGATTTACTGTTTTGCTTCGATAGTGCATTTCTCGCTCGATCACTCAATTGCACTCGTACCACATAGGCAGGTTCATTGAGATAGTAACGTTTCCTGTAACATTTCTCAGATGTGCATATTTTGTTCACCGTAGAGGTGGCACCGACAAAAGCAAACGCAATGGTCACGAGTCCACTGTGGTCAAACACATTCCGTTCTGCCAAGCAGCAAAGCATGCATCCAACAAGGCAAAACGGATGATGCGTTTGCACAAGAAAAACTCTCGCACATTTGCATATCTTGGATCGTGGCTCACGACGGTTCAGCACGGTGAAATGCGGTTCCCTGAGTTTACCGTTTTGAACCGTGACAAAATAAAGTTGCCGCAGTGATCGTACAGAAGTTGACGTCGCCCGTACATATGTGGGAACAAAACCAAGCAACAAATATTCATTCCCAGTTTTTCATGGATGTATTGCCTCGTGTCGTGTCCTCTCTTCACACAAGTTCTTTCCCGCGATAGTTGTGCCCTGCAGTCCTAGTAGTGTGAAGCTCCTTTTGTGCTTTAAGGCCTATTTTAGTAACCTTGTAGTAGGTAATGCATTGCTGCATGCGATTTTAAGCGCGAGTTCAACTGTGAGATGGATTGTGGCAAGGTCGTCGCGCTCCTGTGGCTGACGTGTGTCGTCCAGTGTTTCCGCCTCACCGCATCTGTCGTATTCGACCCCACTCAAGGTCCGCCGGTCTCTCACACCATCGCCGATCTATTACTATCACGCGAACATGAATTTTTGCAGTCGCCTTGAAATCCGTCGTGGAAGAGTGATTTCGCCGCCAAACGAGGCTTCAACTCTTCTTCTTCCCGCCGACATCGCGAAAAAGTTTGGGTGTCGAGATTGTCTGTAGGCTAGCTCCCAAAAACTATACGTCAAGTCCCGTCAAGCACACATAGAGTAAAAGGCGCCACCGTGAAATTTCCGTGACTACGGAGGGTACTTAACTTACATATTGAACCAGAGGTAAGGGGTTCGACTCTCGCCAGCGTCATTGTAACTTCATGAAAGTCTTGTTTTCTGTTGTTATTTTCCTGATTCGGGACGGTTTTGGGTTATTCACTTTCGGACTGGACTACTAATTACTGACCTTAAACTCTATCAAAACTAGCTTCTGACCCAAAAGTTTCTTTGGGGTTAGTTCTGGGTCTGCGTTGGGCCAGACTGGGGTCGAAGACCCGTTGGGCCGAAGTTTTAGTCAGCAACATTTTGGTGATGAAAAGTCAGTGACAGCTGACAAATGGTTCACCCCTGAAGTATATGGGTCACCTAAATTACTAAAAACGAGGACCAAATCTGAAAAAAGAGCGCAAAAGTGGCGCGCGTGAAGGTGATGATGGTGCTTAATCACAAGCGAGGAAGCACGTATGCGTGTCAAGGCAGAGGTTGGCCTCACCAGGTGTAACACCCCGGCTTACAGGTGGAGACGAAATGCTTGGATGGCTTAAATGACTCATTCTAACCTGGTGAGGCCAGCTAGGCCCAAGAACAAGAGAGGAGCCTGTGTGGTTTTTGACAGCTTCGAGCGAAGCAAGTTGGTTTCTTGTAGACTCAAGAAGCGAAGCAGGTTGATCCAAGCCAGTTTTACTGCCAGAAACGGCCACTCTTGCCGCTTGTCCGCATGGTGGTTCTGAAGCGGGCGAAAAGCGCGTGGAATTCAATCCTTGCTCCTATCCTTGGTTTTTTTTTAGAATTCTAAAAAAACCACTAAAAGCACGCGAACACAATCGTTCTTTGTTCCCATCATTGGCAGTGACGGCTCTCGCAGATTGCCAGGCGGAGTGGGGAAAGAGCTTCAGCAACTGGGAGGCAGTGGGCGATTGCGATCTGGCGTACGGGCTCACATGCAATGCATTCGGGATGATCACCAGCTTGTGAGCGGCTCACTTTCTCCATGTATTGACTCAAACCGAGGTGGCTTTTGGGTACGATCAATAATGTTTTTTAGCTCACATGCAATGCATTCGGGATAATCACCAGCGTGTGAGCGGCTCTCTTTCTTTTTCAAGTGACTCAAACCGAGGTGGCTTTCTGATTTAATTAGAAGTGTGCTCTGACATATCGGCTCAGATGCAATGCATCCGCAATGATCACGTGCGAGAGAGCAATCCAAAGTCTCATGAATTCGTAATTTGATCGCCCTCTATCCAAACTATCTCCTGCAATTCTATGATTTTCCCACATGCAGCATGCAGGTCAGGCCATGCGCCACGCACCTCGATCCATGCGCCACGCGCCTCAGTCCATGTGTCAACAGGGGCATCATGCCATGGAGAGATCTTCTCCTGCCTCTCAGATTCTCGCCCTGGTTTCATCTTGTCATGATCATCTCCTTGTTCCCCTCTGCCCCGTCGCGTTGCAGGAACCTTACAGCAGGAGATGCTGGGCCTGGCTCTATTCCGGCCTCATTTGGAAACCTGCTTGAGCTCACATACCTGTAAGTTGCAAAGCAAAGCAGTGCAAGCAGGCAAACAAACGGGCAAACAAGCGAGCAGGCAAGCTAACGGAAGAGCGCTGTTCCGTCAGCAAGAGACTTCAGCTTTTACCACCCTCGTCTGCTCAAATGAGCCCTGAGATGCCTCAAAGCTCCATCCCAGCCTCCATAGGCAATCTGCTTGAGCTCATATGCCTATAAGTTCCACCCTTGTCTGCTCCCATAAGCCCCCCCTGGCTCCTGTCTCTTTCGATGTGTCTCATCATGATGAGTTCCATGAGCCTTTTGTCCGTGACACAGCATGCTGGCATTGGTCGGATCACACGTACTAGCGTACTTCGAAACGCGAGAAATCTCCTTGCAAATTTCTGCCATCAAGTGTGTATGACTTACACTTACTATATTTACGCTAAGCACACTATACCTACTTGCGAATATCATTTTGAAGAGGTCAACATCTTTGTGTCCATATTTCACATCCTGACACCCTTGCTGAAATCAAACTTGGCCTGTTTGCATGCATCTGTGCCAAACTGATATTGCTCCCATTTCCCCTCCTCCAGGAAGTGTGCTGGCAGCAGTTTAACAGGGGCAATCCCGGAAGGTTTCTGGAACCTTACAAAGCTCCAGTACCTGTGAGTGCTGGAGGGCTCTGACGCGTGCAATGAGGTAACAATACAGCACATACTGCTCTCTTCTACTAGCAATAGAACGTTTCGCTAATGGTCCACACACAGGACACAACACAACATGACACGACACGACACGAATCGAAACGACACGACACGACACGACACGACATGAAACGACACGACACGAAACGAAACGACACGACACGACACGACACGACACGACACGACACGTCACAACACGACAAAACATCACCACACCACACCACACCATACCATACCACACCACACCACACCACACCACACCACACCACACCACACCACACCACACCACACCACACCACACTACACCATACCACACCACAACACAGCACGGCACGGCACCTCCTGCTCCTCCTGCCTCAGTAGGCAGGCATTCTCCGCGGAGAGAGGTGATGCAGGTATCACTGCAAGTGGGCGCGCCCTTGTTCTCAGTCTCAGATTGTGAATAATGACCGCTTTTCTACAGAAGGGCGGCACAGATGGAAGGATCGTTGAGTGTGTGTGCGGGCCATGGCCAGTGGACTTGCTGTGCAATCACTTTTGTGTGTGTGTGTGGTGCTCATTATCACAGGAATTTTCGGGACAATCATTTGGAAGGCTATTTGCCGCTGTCTCTTGGTAACCTCGTGAACTTGCGATACATGTAAGAGGACTCTCTACTCTACTACAATCCACAGCATCAGCTTGAATCATGGTGTGATACCTACCCCCATCCTTGCACGTTCAATGAGAGTTTCTCCAACTTGCTTGTTTCATCTCTCCTCCCTGCCCTGATCCTCTAGGGACTTTGGTGGTAACACTCTCGACGGCAGCATCCCAAGTACCATAGGGAATCTCGCCAGTCTGAGTACCTTGTCAGTAACCAACCACACAGCCCGTTACGTCAAATGCGTGATCTTGCTCATGCCTTGCTTTCTACTTTCTCCTCTTACGTCTTCAGCAGAATTGTTCTTGTTCTTGTCAAGTGGACTGCCCACTGCAATTTCTTGTCAGCCCATTATAGGTTCACACTGTAGTTCACACTGTCACGAAACATATTGGTAAGTTGCAGCATATTTCGTTCAGAGCTATGTGGGGTGTAGGTGGTGTACAAGTTGTTATGCAGGGTATTGGAGTGGTAGTTGAGGACTTGGGGAATCACGCGAAGTTGGTGACTCAGAAGATTGCGAAGCGCATGTTGGGAGAATTTGAGGCCTAGGGAGACAGGAAATTGGCGAGGGCCAACCAGAGCCCAGGCGACTCCAGTGCAAGCCCAGCCCCTGAATAATTTGCGACAGGGAAAGCAAGTACTAGTAGTCTAGCCTAGCAGAGCCAGACTTGTTCTCTCGTTTGTCTACCTGTTATAGTGGATGCAAGTTACTGCTGCTAGGTGACAAGGCCACTCGGGGTAGCCATTGTGTGGGAGTCGGGACTTCTCACAAACGAGAGAAGGAGCCGGCGACATGGATCGCCATGAGCTGCGCATGCAGCGAACGTATTCGCGGCAGGAACGTTCTCCGTCGCGGGGAAGGTGCTCAAGGGAGCGAGGGAGGTCGCCGACGCGCTCGCCAAGGAGGGCGGCGTATCGCGCAGATCTGGTGACGCCAGTGGGCGTGCGCGCTGGAGGACGCGGAGCGGATCTGCACGTCAGATCGGAGCCTGGGAGGCTGCCCGCGACCAGCGATCCGTGGGATCTGGCAGGATGCCGGCGCGGAATGGATGGAAGGCGTCGCAACGACGACGTGGAGATGGACTCGGCGAGCGATGATGAGGGGGAGGAAGAAATTGAAGAAGCCCCAGTCGCGCGGGCCAGCGGCGATCGAAAAGAGACAGAAGGCGAAGGATCCCCCATTGCGAGGGGTGGTGGAAGGCGCGACGGAGACGAAGGCGAAGAATCCCCCACTGCGCGGGGAGGCGGAACGCGCGACGGTGACGAAGGCGAATCCCCTACTGCACGGGGAGGCGGAACGCGTGACAGTGATGAAGGCGAATCCCCTACTGCGCGGGGAGGCGGAACGTATGACGGTGACGTAGGCGAAGGATCCCCCACTACGCGGGGAGGCAGAAGGCGCGGCGGCGCCGAAGGCGAGGGACCCCCCACTGCGCGGGGAGGCGGAACGCGCGACGGCGCCAAAGGCGAGGGACCCCCCACTGCGCGGGGCAGCGGAAGGCGCAACGACGCCAAAGACGAAGCGTTCCCAACGACGCGGAGGAAGGAAGAGCGTGTACCTGCAGGGCAGTATGAATATGAGTTGAAGCACGACAGGAGTGGGAGAGGTGAACGTCATACCAGGGAGCCTCTAGGAAGAGAGAGGAGTTGTCATGCGCCCACTGGAGCATTCCGCTCGCCCGAGCCGAGGGAGAAGTATGAGCGCAGGCGGCGCGTGGCGAGGGGTGACTGGCGAGGTTTGGGGCTGCCGAGGGAGGGAGAGCGTAGCGATGGTGAAGTAGAGGGGTGGGACTCTACGCAGAAGGGAAGAGAGCACAAAGAGGGGTACCGCAGGGAGGACAGGCGAGGATCACTACATGCTGCGGGGGCAGAAGAGAGGAAGCGAGAAGACCAGCAGCGGCAGGACAGGGTAGAGCGAGATAGGCGAGGTCAGGAATACTCGCCTGAGAGGAAGGAAAGGAGAAGGGGGGAAGAAGGCAATTGGAAGGAGGCGTGGGAAGGGGAGCCGAGAGGGAGTCCGAGTCCAAGGAGCTCAAGGAGGCCATGGCAGACAGGAGAGGGATCCAGCGGGGCTAGAGCCGCAAGGGAGGGAATAGAGAGGGTGTTGTACGGAGCTAGCGCAGGCAGCGGAGGAATGAGGGAGCGCAGAAGAGAAGGTAGCCATACGGAGCGTGGAGTGACAGGGACCTGGGACATAGGGAGATGGGGCACGCAGGCGCCGCCTAGGGTGGAGGTGCCAGTGCGCTTCACGGGAAATGAAGGGACGGGCACTAACCTGAAGAATTATCTGATGCAGATTGGGAATGTCAAGTATCGGTGTGATCGTGGGGAGATGGACCCCATCGACTTCTTCCTCAGTCTGCCCAACACATTGGGAGGGGAAGCAGAGACTTTGTATCGCATGAAAATGCAAGAGTGGCTGAGAAGGGCGGAGGAAGATGGAGATGACCCGACAGCATTGTTTCTGGCGCGGCTACGCAAGCAGTTTCCCGGGCATACAGCGGACCGGATCAGGGAGTTTCAAGACTTCAGACGCAAGAAGGACGAGTCATTGTTAACATACTATGGGCGACTCATGAACCTGGCCGAAGATGTGGTGTGCACGGACACCAGTATGCTGATCAGCAAGTTCCTGGCGGGGCTGGATGATGGGTTAGCAGGAGGGCTGAGGATGAGGGTCTACGAGTTAGGGGCGGAGGCAACGCTGGAAGAAGTATTTGAGCTGGCAGAAAAGGTGGAGCTGGCACAGAGGCGTTATGAAGCATACCTGCCCAAAGCAGCGGAGAAGAAACGACCCACCTGGGCAGCCGTGATGATACCAGGGGCAGGAAGCGGAGAGGAGCAGCGGCAGGAGAGGAGGACAGATACTAGGACGTGCTACAGGTGTGGACAGCCAGGGCACGTGAAGATGAACTGCAAGAACTGTGACACATGTGGCAAACCAGGCCACCGCCGGCGGGAGTGCCCTGATGCGCCTATCTGTGAAGTGTGCGGAAAAAGGGGGCATCAGCAGAAAGACTGCTATCAGAAGACGGGTAGACCAAGAAGGTCACAAGAGGACATAGCAAACCAGATCGAGAAGCTGCAAGCGCGGTTGCAGGCGATGGGAGGCAAGAAGGAGAAGGAAGCGGGCTTGTATGCAAGAGAGGAGGAAGAGGAGGAAAGAGAGGAGGAAGAACGGTTGCCAGAACACACCTTTTTAGCAATGCGCTGCCGAGAAGAGATGGGTCTGAGGAGCGGGGGCAAGGATGGGAGGAAGGAACACATAGTGAAGGAGAGAGGAAGACCGAAACAGAAAACGGAAGAGGAGAGTGAAGGGGATGAGGAGCCAGCCAGGCATCCCAAGGACCGACTAGCCAGCCAAGCAACGGTACTGGTGGCAGAAGCAGGGACAGTGACTGTGGGAGGGGAGATAGCAAAGACTGCGATCCTAGATACAGGGGCACAGAGCGTGATGCTGGGGAAGCGGCTAGCACAGAAGCTGGGACTGACCAGACAAGGGCAGCACATAAAGCGGGGGATGCTGGTTATGACTGCGGAGGGAGGCGAACCTAAGTGGTTGCCGTGCACAAAGACTCCAGTGGAGGTGGTGCTAATGCCGGGAAGGGACGAGCAAACCAGCATACGACTACAATGTGGGATCTCTGACTCTGAAGACTTCGATGTACTGCTGGGGACGGAACTGATCTGGGGCGTGGGAATGACCATCTGCACATGGAAGGAAAAGGTGAAGTTTCGGAAGCAGTACTGGAAGCGGGGAAGCAGAACGGGAGAGCTGCCTGTACAATTCATCAGGCAGGAGCCAAGAAGGGCGTATACGGCCGAACAGGCGGGAAATAGAAACAGAGGGAAAGCGGGATTGGTGGGCAAGGCAGCAGAGACCAACGCGTGGCAGGAACCAATCAGACTGGTAGAACTGTTCGGGGGCATAGGAGCGGGATTGGCGGCGGTGCTCAGGGCAGGGATAGCCGTGAAGGAGTGGATCTACGTTGAGAAAAATGAGAAGGTAAGGAAGATGGCCGAGCACCATGCGAGGAAGATGCAGAGAGAGTATCCTGAGCTGCTGGACGAAGAAGTGGTAATCAAGGCAATGCAGGGGACACTGACAGACGTGAAGAACATCACAAGGGAAGTGGTGAGGGGCTGGGGGCACGTGGACCTGCTGGTAGCAGGGTGGGAGTGCCAAGCAGTATCAAGAGCGGGGAAAGGAAGGGGATTAGGAGATCCAAGGGGAGCACTGCTGGTCAACTTGCTCTGCATCATCGACTGGATCAAGGAAAGACAAGAGAAGCTGGTGTACCTGTTGGAACATGTGGACCTGGAAGGGGACTGCAGAGAACCAGTGAGGAAAGTACGAGAGTTGGTAACAAGGAAGCTGGGGAAGGGAGTGAGGTGTGACGCAGCCAGGCTAGGGGCACGAGCTCACCGAGTCAGACGCTACTGGCAGAACATCGTGACGGAAGAGCAATTGCAGCAGGAGCTGGACGGGATACGGAGGGATTGGAGCAGGACTGTGCAGGAGATCCTGGAGCCGGGCAGGACAGCGGCGCCGGCGCCAGTCAGAAAGGGCAGACATGAGACGCAGTGCCCATGCAACAAAGTGGGGGCAGAGCGCAGGGCATGGCCGACACTAGTGGGATACAAAGGGGCCGCCGGTTTTAGGGAGGAGGATGGGCTGCCAGGAGAAGGCATGGTGTATGATCACAGGACGAAGAGTTGGGAGGAACCTACCACGCTGGAACGGGAACTAGCGATGGGGTATGGAGAAGGGATAACCGATGCAGCAGAGGTGACAGAACAGGAACGACGGAAAGCACTGGGGCAGGCCATGGACGGTCAGGTCATGCAGTGGCTTTTGCGGCGAATGTGGAGAGGGTTGATCATGGGAGAGGAGCAGGAACGGGAGACTGAGGGAGGAGGGATGAAGAGGGTGGGGGCATGGGTGTGCACGGCAGCCAAGGAAGAGCCAGCATGGGTGGTGGGGAATGCCATGAGTGAGAAGGGAAAGGAGGCAATGCAGGAGGTGCTGGCCAGGTACAGGCATGCCTTCGCGTTCACCCTACAGGAGCTGGGTAAGTGTTCAGTGAAGGAGATGGAGCTGAAGCTGGTCACAGATGAGCCAGTATTTCAGAGGAAGCGGAGAATGACACCAGCAGACGAGGACATTTGCAAGGAAAAATGTAAGGAGCTGTTAGAAGCGGGACTGATACAGCGATCGGAGTCCGAGTACGCAACACCAACAGTTGTAGCAGCACGGAAGGATCTGCTAGGGGAAGTGCTGAGCAGACGGATGTGTGGGGACTACCGAGCACTGAACAAGGTGACAGTGCCCGACAGGTACCCCATGCCAACGACTGAAGATATTTTTGACCGACTGGGGGCAGGAGAGATTTTCAGCACGCTAGATTTAAGGCAGGGGTTCAACCAGATTCGGATTAAGAAGGAGGACGTGCGGAAGACGGCATTTCATGGGGCAGACGGGCTGTATGAATGGCTGTTCATGCCATTCGGGCTGCGGAACGCGTCAGCCATCTTTCAGAGAGTGATGGATAGCGTCTTGAGGGGACTAGACTGTGCGGCGTGTTACATAGACGACGTAGTAATCTTCAGCAAGAGCGAAGAAGAGCATGTGAGGGATGTGGAGCGGACACTGAAGGCGTTGGCGGATGCAGGGCTGACCTGCCACCCGAAGAAATGCAGATGGGGAGAGGCAACCGTACAGTACCTGGGGTACGAAGTCAGGGGAGGGCAGATAGGGATTCAGCAGGCAAAGATTGAGGTGCTGAGCAGGCTGCAGCAGCCGAAGGACAGGAGCGGACTAAGGGCAGTGCTGGGATTTCTGAGTTACTACCGCAGGTTTGTCCCGAACTTCAGCAAGCGAGCGACAGCGCTGAACGGACTGCTGAAGGAGGACAGAAAGTGGGAGTGGGGGACAGAACAGGTGGCAGCGTTAAAGGACCTGATGGAGGCGGTGCAGACGGCGACAATACTGCAGCTGCCAAAGGCGGACAAGCCCTTCTGCCTCTATACCGACTGGAGCAGCCAGGACATGGGCGCTATACTCTGCCAGGAGATAGATGGGGAGGAAAGGGTGGTGGCATATGCGAGCAGGAGCTGCAACCCCGCGGAAGCAAAGTACAGCTCATACCATGGGGAAGGGCTAGCAGCCGTGTGGGCAGTGAAACACTTCAGAGTATACTTGCAGGGGAGGGAGTTCACGCTCATAACAGACCACCAGCCGCTGCAGTGGTTGATGACCCACCAAGGACTGACAGGGAGGAATGCGCGGTGGGCAGTCACACTGCAGGAATACGATTTCAAGATACGACACAGGCCGGGAAAGACACTACAGCATGTTGACGGGCTCTCAAGGAACCCACCACCACCAGAGCCGGTACAGGTGCTGATGATGCTGGCTAGGCAAGGGGAGAAAGAGGCGGCAGGGAAGCAGCAGGGACCACGGGATATATGGGAAGACGCTGAGGCGCTGAGGTGGATTAAGGGAGAAACAGAGGGGGATGAGCAGGTGCCCGAACGTGCAAGGGCACGGGGAAACCACTATCGGTGGTACCAGGGGCAGCTGCAACTGCAGTCAGAAGACGGCTGGAAATTGGTGCCAGCACCTGGGGAGAGGGAGGGGGTAATTAAGGAGGTGCACAAAAGTTAGGACACTTCGGTCACGAGCGTACGATGCAACTGCTGAAGACAGGATGGTGGTGGGATGGGATGCGAAAGCAGGTGAAGGAGTGGGTAAGCGGATGCGCGGGATGCCAGCGAAGCAAGGCGAATCTAATGCAAGCAAAACAGGAGCTACAGTCGCTGCCGATTAGAGGGCTGGGGTTTAGGTGGTCGTTAGACCTGGCAGGAGAATTGCCGCTGAGCAGGGGAGGGCAACGGTACATCCTGCTCATGGTAGAGCACGCTAGCAAGTGGCTTGAGGTGTGGGCCATACCGAGCAAAGACTCCAGGCATGTGGCGAAGGCTTTTAAGGAGCAGGTGTTGTGCAGGTTTGGGGCGCCGGGAGAGGTGTTAACCGATCAGGGAACCGAGTTTAGGGGAGAGTTTCAGGCGCCGCTGGACGAGACAGGGATCACTCACCGACTAACGTCAATGTACCACCCTCAGAGCGATGGTTTGACAGAACGATTGGTGCAGACCCTAAAGCGCAACCTAAGGGCGTACGGGGAACAGCGGAAGAGGAACTGGGACGAGGAGCTGCACTGGATTGCAGCCGGGTACCGATTCGGGAAGCAGGCGTCATTGAAGGATCATTCGCCATACAGTCTGCTGTTTGGAAGAGAACCAATTCCGCCAGTGGGAGCTCCACGGGTGCTGACTGATACTGTATCAGTGGAGGGAGCAGAAAAGTGGGTGGCATTAGCAGAAGCCAGGGCGAGGTACATGAGGGAGATGCTGCCGGCGGCCTTGGAAAACCTGCACACAGCGCAGCTCAGGGACGCACGCAGATATGAACAGAGGCAGCAGCAGGGAGGCAGAAAGAGTAAAGCAGCAGCAGTGGAGGGCCAGGAGGTGTACCTTCGAAGGGCCAGGAAGGATACACTGGATGTGGGGTTAGGAACTGAGCGGTGGAAGGTGAAGGAGATCAGGGGATCGGGGGTGCTGGTGCTGGAGAACGAAAAGGGGGAAAGGACAGTTGATCACCAGACGAACGCAGCTGTGGTGAAAGGACAGAGACCTCAGCAAGTGGGTCCTGTGACACGTGCACGGGCAGCCCGCGCACGGGCACAGGAGGGGGCAGGGAGTGGCTGAGGCAGGAGAGGACTGAGTAAGGGCAATCACGGACGGAAGGAAAAGGGACAAGAGGAGGATGGGGTGAGAGCAGAGAAGGTAACCACACAGTGCTGGCAAGGATAAGTGAGTACTCCGACAACACCTCTAGTCTGGAGGTCGCTGACAACTTCGTCAAGTAGCCTTCAGGTGTGTTATGACCCACTATTCCCACATGTGCCCCGTTATTCCCAACATCTCCCCCCTGTTCCCCAATGTGCCGCTGTTCCCTAACCCACCAACAGGCGCCTGGCTCACAACAATTTGAGTGGATCCATTCCGGAGCCTTTGTGGGATCTGCACAGTCTTGTTCTCATGTCAGTTGCCGTTTCATGTCAGTTGCCGTTTCATGTCAGTTGCCGTTTCATGTCAGTTGCCGTTTCATGTCAGTTGCCGTTTCTTGTCAGTTGCCGTTTCATGTCAGTTGCCATTTCATGTCAGTTGCCGTTTCATGTCAGTTGCCGTTTCATGTCAGTTGCCGTTTCGTGTCAGTTGCTGTTTCATGTCAGCTGCCGTTGTTAAAATATATGTTGTGTAGCATGCCAACACATGTGACTGTACACCAATTGTGGTGTACAGTTGGGTTGGGACTACACCCAACTTTGGGTGTAGTCTTGCACTTTGGGGTGCCAATCCACCCAATTGTGGTGGAGCCCCCAAATGCAACCCACTTGGCTTATGGGTGCCTCACTTCCCACAAGTGAGGTCATCTCAAGCCAAGTGGGCTTAGGGTTGCCTCACTTCTACAAGTGAGGTCAACCCAACCTATGGTCACCTTCACCTTTCTCTTCCAAGCCTCTCTTCCAACTATGTATGCTAGGTTTCTCCTCTAATGAAGTTACTTGTTCAATTTGCTACTTTCACATGGTATAGAGCTACTTGTTCCTAGGCCTTACCTCTCCCTCCCTTCAGTTTTTTTTTCCCCATGGGCCCACCCCACAGCTACAAACCCTTTCCTACGCGTGGCTCAACTAGCCATCACTAGCATACTCTCGCCGCGACCTACGCCGTCGCCGCCGTTCCCCCCCCCCTCCCGCCGCGATTACGCCTTCCTCGCCTGCGGATACCACCGCCGCGAGCGCAACGCCGCTGTCCCCTCCTCCCCCCGGTCGCGACCCCCTGTCGCCGCCTCCCCCTCTCGCCGCCGCGCCTGATTCGGCGCCGCCTGCGCATCCCGCCGCCGCGACGCCTCGTCGCCGCCTGCCCGTCCCTCCGCCGCGACGTCACGTCGCCGCGTTCCCGCCGCCGCTCCTGCTACGGCGCCGCCTGCGCATCCTGCCGCCGCGACGCCTCGTCGCCGCCTGCCCGTCCCTCCGCCGCGACGTCTCGTCGTCACGTTCCCGCCGCCGCGCCTGCTTCAGCGCCGCCTGCGCATCCTGCCGCCGCGACGCCTCGTCGCCGCCTGCCCGTCCCTCCGCCGCGATGTCACGTCGCCGCCTCCCCTTCCCGCCGCCGCGCCTGCTTCGGCGCCGTCTGCCCGTCCCGCCACCGCGACAGCTCGTCGCCCCCCTGCCCGTCCCGCCGCCGCGACCTAACATTGCCGCCTACGCATTCCGCCGCCGCGACTGCTCGTCGTCACCTTCCCGCGCCCCCCCGCCCCCCCCCCCCCCCCCGCCGCGATTTCGCATTTCCGCCTCCCCTCCCACCACCGCACCTGCTTCCGCGTCACCCACGCATTTCGCTGCCCCTTCTGCATCGCCACCCGCCCGCAATTTCCCCAGCCGCAACTGCAACATCGTCGCCCCGCGGTTCCCGTTAACGCGACTGCGCCGCCGCCGCCCTGCCGCCGCCACTGCTTCGGCGCCGCCTGCCCATCCTCCACCGCGACCGCGCCATCCCCGCCCACACTTCCTGCCGCCGTGACTGCCCCGTCGCCGCCTGCAGATTCAGCCGCAACTGCACCCTCCCTTCCTCCTCTCCCTACTCCTCTCCCCCCCCCTCCCCCCCCCCCCTGCGCCCCTCGTTGCCGCGGCCTGCCTGCCACCGCCATCCCTCGTTTCGACGCCACAGCCATTTCCCCGCCGCCTTCACCTTTCCGCCGCCGCAACCTGCTTGCAGCCGCCGCTCTCAACATCGCCGCCGCGGCCCTTCCGCTGTCGCCTGCGCCCTTCGTCGTCGCGGCCTGCTCGCCGCCGCCGCCCCCGACTTTGCCACCGCCTCCCCTTCCCGCCGCCGCACGTTCGCACAGCCGCCTGCGCCCTTGTCACCGTCGCTCCCTGCACCTTGAACGCCTCTGCCCTCCACCGCTGTCTCCCTCCTTTACCCCCCCCTTCCCTCCTCCTGCCAGCGGCAGCAGCAGCGGCAGCAGGGGAAGTGCAGCAGCCTCAGCAGCAGCAACTTCACCCTTGGCCGCCGGGGGTCCACCCGCCGTCACCCATCATGACTGCTACCCCCCCTGCCCCTCTCCCCCCTCCTCACTGGAGCAGTGTTACTCCTCGCCCCTCCCTTCTCAGCACTCCGACCCTCCACTCCTCCCCCCCCCCTTATCTCCGCCTGCTCACCTCCTCCCCCTCTCCCCATCTGCGGCGTTTCCAGCAGCTCCAGCATCAGCAGCAGCAGCACTTCCAGCAGTGGCAGCAACCACAATTTCTCCAGCCACACCCCCCACATCTCCTCCAGCCGCGGCAATCGCAGCAGCAGCAGTTCTTCCTACACCGACAGCAGCCGCAATCTCTCCAGCCTCACCCGCCACAGTTTCTCCATCCCCAGCAGCAGCAGTCCTTCCAGCCGCAGCAGCAGCAGTCCTTCCTGCAGCAGCAGCAGCCACAGTTTCCCCAGCCGCAGCAGCAGCAGTGCTTCCAGCAGCAGCAGCTGCCACAGTTCCTTCCGCCGCAGCAGCAGCAGCAGTCCTTGCAGCAGCAGCGGCAGCCACAGTTTCTTCAGCCGCAGCAGCAGCAGCGCTTCCAGCAGCAGCACCAGCCACAGTTCTCTCCATCCGCAGCAGCAGCAGTGCTTCCAGCAGCAGCAGCCACCACAATCTCTCCAGCCGCAGCAACCTCAGCAGCGGTGGTGCTTCCAGCAGCAGCAGCAGCAGCCCAATCTCTCCAGCCGCAACCGCCACAGTCTCTCCCACCGCAGCAGCCGCCGCAGCAACAGTACTTACAACAGCAGCACCCGCCGCTCTCTCCCTCTTCTATCCATGAAACAACTCTCCAGTACTCTGTGTTCCCTCCCTCTCCTTCCCCCCCCACCCTGGACTTTGTCCTTGACAGTGGGGCCACCGAAACCGCACTAAAAGACGCTGGCACCCTCACCCCCTTCCCACTTCCCACCCAGGTTCATGGTGCCGACTCCAGCTTTTCCATCCCCTGCACTCACCTCTCCACCCTTCCTTGCACCGCCTTCCCATCCGGTACAGTCACCGGTCTCCACATCCCTACCCTTCGCAATAACCTCCTCTCCCACCGTGAACTCCAAGGCGTTGGCATTACCGCCATATACCCTGGCTTTGCTTCCTACTGCGATCTCTATCACACCGCCTCTGGTCGTTTCCTCCTGCGCATTCCCCTTTGCCCTCGCACTCGCCTTTACACGCTCCGCACAACCCGTCCCTCCTTTTGTCACGTCACCACTCGTGCTGGTACTTCCACCGGTCCCCTTCTTCCTCCCCCTCCCCCTCCTCTTCCCCCTCACCCTCCCCCTCCCCTTCTCCCTCTCCCTCCGATATCCTCCTCCTCTACTCCATCCGCCTCCTCCTCCCCCCCCAACTTTTCCCCCACCCCATCCCCCTCCTCCTCTACTGCCCTCTCCCATCCTGCAGTGCTCCTACATCACAGACTCGGCCATCCCAACTTCGCCGCACTTCGCTCCACCGTCACCTCTTGCCTCCTTAACAGCCTTCCTCCCACCTTACCTCCCCTCCCCTCCTCCCCTGCTCCCCCATGCCCATCATGCATTCATGGCAAGCTCAAACAGTCCCCCCATCACAGTCACCCCACCTTCGCTCCCGCCCCCATTGACCTTGTTCACATGGATCTCTGGGGCCCTTATCCCATCCGCTCTCGTCAGGGGCACAGGTACATGCTCGTGCTCGTCGACGACCACAGTCGATACTCCACCGTCTTCTTTCTTCACACGAAAGACCAGGTGCCGGCTGTGGTCATCAACTGGGCTGAGCAGTGCCGCAACCACTTCAAACGTCCCATAGGCCGCCTTCACTCTGACGGTGAGGGTGAGTTCATCAATCATACTCTCTCCACTTACTGCAAAACATACGGCATTCAGCAGACCTCCACCCTTCCCCACTCCCCTCAGCAAAACGGCATCGCTGAGAGGTCGCATCCGTGAGATCACCAAGATTGCGCGCTGCCTCATTGCTCACGCCTCCACCCCTCCCTCCCTCTGGAGCTATGCTCTCATTCATGCCGCCCTCCTCCTCAATCTCCGCTCCCACCCTCAGCATCCCTCCTCCTCCCCCACAGAACTCTGGTCCAAGGCCAAGCCTGACGCCGCAGGCCTTCGTGTTTGGGGCTGCAAGGCGTTCGTCCTCGTTCCACCGGCCGACCGCTCCCGCGCTGCTGGCAAGCTCGCTCCTCGTGCTCTGGAGTGTGTCTACCTTGGGCGCAATCGTGATTCCCCTGGCTACCTATTCCTCCACCCTCCCACCAATCGCCTCATCCGCAGCATTGACGTCGTCTTCGACGAGTCCACTCCCTACTACTCCACCCCTCCTCCTGACCCCCTCCCTCCTCCCACTCGCCCCCTCGCTTGGACCGACACCGTCCTCCCGCCTCTTCTCCCTCCAGCGCCTCTCCTCCCACCTGTCGCCGCTCCACTCCCGCCTTCCTCCTCTGCCGACGTCTACAACCCTGCCGCACCCACCTCCCCCGCTCACTCCGCTGCACCCCCTCCCCCCTCTCCCTCCTCCTCTCATTCTCCTCCTTTCCAGCAGCCGGATCAGCAACAGCAGGGGCAGCAGCAGCAGCAGCAGCAGCCGGATCAGCACCAGCAGGGGCAGCAGCAGCACCAGCAGCAGCCGCGGCAGCAGCAGCAGCAGCCGGAGCAACACCAGCAACGGCAGCAGGGGCAACAGCAGCAGCAGCAACGGCAGCAGGGGCAACAGCAGCAGCAGCAACGGCAGCCGGGGCAGCAGCAGCAGCAGGAGCCGGAGCAGCAGCAGCAGCAGCAGCAGCAGCCGGGGCAGCCGCAACAGCAGCAACCGGGACAGCAGCAGCAGCAGCAGCAGCAGCATCAGCAGCAGCAGCAGCAGCAGCAGTAGCAGCAGCACAGTCAGCAGCAGCAGACACAGCAGCAGCACGGTCCGCAGCAGCCGCAACAACAAGGGCAGCAGCTTCAGCAGCACCAGCAGCAGCAGCGGCGCCGTGCCACTTCCCGCTCCTCCCCCTTCCTCCTCCCTTACATCCATACCCGCTCGGTGGACAAAATCCTTGGGGCTCCTCCTCCTGCCTCCATTCAGCTCCTTGAGGACTCCCATGAGGAGTTCCTCAACATTCGGGAGCACACTCCGTTCCTTGCCTCCCTCTACCTTGACTTCCTGGGCTTTCCTGTCCTTGGCGCCACCACCACCCCCACCATCTTCACTCCCTCCACCTTCCAGGAAGCCATCACCTGCCCTGACACGTATAAATGGATAGCAGCGATCTTCCTGGAGTGTGAGGCATTCATTCGCAACGACTCCTTTGTCGATGTCCCCCTCCCAGCCGGCGCCAACCTCGTGGACGGGAAACGGGTCTTTTGGGTGAAGCAGCTGCCGGGCGAGGAACCGGTGTACAAGGCCCGCTACTGCGCCAAGGGGTTCACGCAGACTTGGGCCGAGGACTACTGGTTCACCCCCCCACCGCCAAACCACCCACCCTTCGCGCCGCCCTCGACATTGGCGCACGTGACAACATGGAGATCGATTCCATGGACGTTTCCAATGCGTTCCTGCAGGGCGACCTGCACGAGCGCATTTTCCTCCGGCGACCCCCCGGGTTCCACGCAGCCTTCCCTGAGAACACTGTCTGGCAGCTGCGCCGCCCTGTCTACGGTTTGAAGCAGGCACCGCGTGAGTGGCATGCGAAGCTGGCTGCCACCTTAGGGTCTCTCGGCTTCTCTGCTTCCCATTCCGACGCCAGCCTCTTCATCCGCTCCTCCCCCCGCCGATTCTTCATTCTGGTGTATGTGGACGACGTGATCCTGCTCTCTGACACCAGGGCCGACATGGAGCAGATGAAGCTGTCCCTGCAGCAGCGTCTCAAGTGCAAAGACCTTGGCGCCCTCACTCACTACCTGGGCATGGCCATCACGCGCAACCGCCCTGCTCGCACCATCACCCTCTCACAGTCCCACTAAATCGGCCAGGTCTTGGAGAAGTTCGACATGGCGCAGGCCAAGCCTGTCTCCACCCCCCTCCCTTTCGGCCACCAACTCGCACCACCCTCCTCCCCCACCTCCTCCCCCCACCCCTATGCCGAGCTCGTTGGGTCCCTGATGTACGCGATGATGTGCACCCGCCCCGACCTCGCCTACCCCATCAGCGTGCTCGCCCGCTTTGTCGGCACCGGTCGTCACACTGAGGAGCACTGGAAAGCTCCCAAGCGGGTCCTCCGCTACCTTCGCGGGACCAAGGACCTTGCCCTCACCCTTGGCGGCCCTTCCCCTCCTCTTCTCTCGGGCTTCAGTGACTCCTCTTGGGCTGACACGCATCCGGACCGCCGCTCCTCCCAAGGCTACGGCTTCACCCTTGGTAGCGGCCTCATCAGCTGGCGCTCCACCCGCTCCTCCGCCATCTCTCTCTCCACCTGCGAGGCCGAGCTCTACGCTGGCACCATGGCCGCCCAGAAGTCCCGCTGGCTTTGTTTCCTTCTTGCAGAGCTTGGCGCCCCCCAGACGTGCCCCACCCTCTCGTGCGACAATGCCAG